TTAAACGAGTAAGTTTACAAGTATATTAAAAGAATACAGACATCAATGAGTGACAAAAGTATAATATAAGTATATGGTTGATAATGCGTCTAAAAAACATTCAAAATAACCAAACAACAGGTTCTAAATAAAATGTAATTGTACATAGGAATTTATGTGTGAATATTAGCATATACTGAGAAGACTTATGAATCTTACTCTTCGAATGGTGTTTGATTAGTGTAATCAATAAATTGAAGTGTCATCTTTTATATAAAGTTGAAATAATGCATATAGATAAAGGAATGGTAAGACGAGCGAAATATGCCCAACAGAGAGACACATGGAACAGCTGTAATTGCTAATATAATACAGCTATAACCAGCATAATTTTATTTATATGGCACATTTATTTTTATAATATCTTGTTGAATAAGTTTTACTTTTATTCTTGTTTAAATATCTAGCCGCGGGTTTTGCGTATTTTTTGCCTCGGTCTGGCAATGGACCCTGAGACTTCGGGTGATCCGAACTGGAACTTTTCAGGCGTTAAACTCAGTATTACTAATATTGTGATATCGTCTGAAAAGCTCACCCCAACGCCATCCCAGTCGGACAGTCTCGACTATCAAGATGAAATAGACTTACGAATACTGGGTTGTGAACTTATTCAAGATTCTGGAATACTACTAAAGTTGCCTCAAGTTGCGATGGCGACTGCTCAGGTTCTCTATCAGAGATTTTTCTATTGTAGATCATTTGTAAGGCATTTTTATGAAGTAAGTGTCTGTTAATATGATTTTATTCCATAGCATTGTGCAATGGCGTGCATTTTTCTCGCGGCTAAAATTGAAGAATGTCCTAGGAGAATTCGTGATGTTATTAATGTTTTTCATCATATGCGGCAAGCTCGCGAAAACAAGTTAGATTTTTACCTTTACTAAATTCTTAGGATGTTTACCCCCGTTATTCTTGATAGGAGTTACCTCAATCTCAGAGGCCAGGTTATCAAGGCCGAGAGACGAGTACTGAAGGAACTTGGATTTTGTGTCCATGGGAAACATCCTCACAAAGTAAGTCATAATCTACTGTCATCCCACAGCTTGTCATTTGCTATCTTCAGGCTCTTGGTCAGGAAAAAAACCACGAATTGGTTCAAATGTCATGGTAAGCCAAACTCATTTTAGCTTCTTATTACTCGCCGAGTTCGTAGGTTATATCGTTAACCTATCGGTTTTATCCCACCCCTTTCTGTCCCTCATTATAACCAGCCGAAATAAAAGCCTGCCAGATGTTGATGTAGAGTCTCTTTGGCTCGGTGATCATCTCCGCCTTTATTCCCACAATCTGGCCTGAGTGTCAGTTTTGGCCAAGGGGAGTGAGTGAGAAGTCCACTTCTCGGACTTATCGCACCTGTCTTCAGTGAGTTCTTCGGATGCAGCCAGGAAGCCAGATCTGCGACAACACCTCCCTTCCCCTATTCCCTGTCATTCAATATTAAATTTTATCACATTACTTTGTCAACTAGACCTTGCTTCTCTACTGAAGCCTAATTTTCGCGCAGCAGCAAGTATTGATGGAAAATTTTTGTCGATCAATTGGTTAATTCTATGCAGACTAGAAAATTAATGAGACTTTGAGACCCCAGTCCTCCGTTCCTACAGCTTCCTTTCAACAAACATGATCCTATCTTGAATATATTGCCCTATCTGGGAAATATATCTAAATTCACTTGACAATATTTTTGAACATTTTCTAATTTGATCTCCGAGCATACCTTCGCTGAATGGCTTGAAATTCTTGCCATTGTACCTTTGTCTTAATGTCGTTTATATATCCTAGCTTCCTCGGTCCGATGCAGTTTATAAGTCATGTTCATTTTAAAGCAGCTATCATGCTTAAGGTTGGATCTTCCAACCATTACCGCTC